TCCCATATTTGTTACATTTGTAATGGTTATATGCAATAGAACATCCTATCTGCCCTTCACGCTCATGGACACTTTCCCAAGATTATTTTAACTGTAAGTTCACAAGGCCAAATCTTCCATATCTTCCTGTTGGTGACTTTGTAAGTGACACTTCTATGTTCTTCTCTGACAAAAGACCTTCGGTGTAGTGAGAAATCACAGCTTACAGAGTGATGAAGAAGATGGTGGTATACTTTGGGTAACAGGTTGCATCTTTTGAGAATAAAGGAACATTTTTCTTACGGGACCAGACAGACTTCAGTACCATAGACGTCCACAGATATAGCAAATAACAACGAGCCCTAGCAGTTTCTGTCTTGGGTTCAGCTTCATCCTGTGAAGATAATTTATCATTCTTATTATAATCCGGGGGAGCCGAGGCTGCCGTGAAGAGAAAAGTTCCCTCATCATCATCATTGTTAGTGGCCTTTTGGGAACGAAATTTCTTATAATTATGCTGTGGATTTAAGGCATCTTTAATTAACATTGTTCCCAGAAGAACCAGGTTTCTGTGGTTCTCTAACATAACGTTCCGGTACAATATCCGCTGAGTGGGTTCCAGGCATTCCCACTCTTCTGGAGAAAATTCTATGGCCACATCCTTGAAAGTCAACAGTCCCATCTCCCAGCTTCCGAGCATCCCGACTTCCTCCTCCACGGATTCCCAGGACAAGTTGGTCACAGGGCGACAGAGGAAGAAACGAAGATGTGCGATCTTCTGGGAGATGATTCACTACTTCTGCACTCGCCGAATACAAAAAGTCCGGTCCTCTTTTTTTTTTTTTTGAATCAGAGTTTTACTCTGTCACCCAGGCTGGAGTGCAGTGGCATGCTCACGGCCACCGCAGTCTCAACCTGCTGGACTCAGGCGATCCTTCTGCCTCAGCCTTCCAAGTAGCTGGAACTACGGACATATGTACCACCATATCCGGCTAATTTTTTGAAATTTTTATTTATTGTAGAGATGAGGTCTCGCCAAGTTGCCCAGGCTGGTCTCAAACCTGTGGGCTCAAGCAGTCCTCTCACCTTGGCCTCCCAAAGTGCTGGGATAATAGGCGTGAGCCACCGCACCTGGCCTCCTTGATGCTTTTCATTCAAATTGTACGAAAAAGCAAACACAGAGATGAAATACACTGAGATATGATCGATCAGTTGAGAAGTGGTTTTCAGGAATTGCGAGTGCGTCCTTCCACATCTTTGAACAACAGAGCGGACAGTAAATCGCATATTGTTAATGTGCGAGGAAGACGACACTGCATTGTCTGCTCAAGTAGAAGAACTCCAGGCAGAAGACATCCAGCGAACTACTGTTGCTCAACCTGTATCGATGGACCTGCAGTGCATGTCGGCGGCCTGTTTCACATGTTAGGAAAATATATAAAGTTTTGATGTTTTTGTCGTAACTGAGTTCCTCAGTGTCTAAAATTTCATTGTAAGTCAAACATCACTGCAGAAAAATAATGGGTTCCTGCGCTCTACTGTTTAATACGAAGTGATCTGTTTTTCACGGTTTTGTTGAAAAGTGCGGTTGAGTGGGTGGCAGGTGATCCCGAGCCGTCTCCGAGCGCAAGGGGCTGAGTCTCTTGTGCACTTGCTGTAGGCATTAGAGAGTGAGTGCAAGCTGGCGTCGCTTTGCTGTTTCTGGGACGGGCAGCTTTCTGTTCATACCACTTTCCCCTTGTTTGAGGAACAGGTCCGAGGGATTGCGAGGACTCTGGCGATCACTCTGCAGACCTCGCTTTGCGTGGAATTGGCCGTTTTTACTTTGCTTCCTCATTTCCAGAGGGGTATGTCCTTGGCCCCTCGGCCAGCAACGTCATGTGGCTTTCTGGTCTCTTTCAGGTTGTTTTTGATGAAAACTCTGAACGAAGCGACAGATAAAAAGAGAGCCGAGCTCTTGGGAAGCATAGCCGAGAAGCTCGCAGAAGCAGCACAGACACTGGGGTACTCCCTGGAGCGGAGAACCCCGCGCATGCGGCAGAGGGACAGGAAGGTAAGACCGCCCTGCAGTCTGCCCAGCTGGCCCTGGGGTTTCTCCCTCGGTCCTCCGCGTGCTCACCTCTCCCCTGTCGCCCTCCACACAGCGCTGGGGGGTCCTTGTGTAAAGTCCCTTGCAGCGAGGGACTGGGCAAGCCTTAGAGGCAGTCCCTGCGGGCGGCAGTCCCTCCCTGTGAGAAGCCGGCCCTGCGGGAGGCGGCGAGGATGAGCCTCAGGACGTCGCTCCCCGAGGTGTGTCCAGGCGGCTCCCCTTCCCTGTCTTCGGGGTCTGGGAGGGGC